ACATGACTGAGATCGAGCTTCTTTGTTTGAATTTGTACCTGTGAAAGACAGAAGTTATGTCACGTTAATGCAGAATAGGGCCTTGGTGTCATGTCAAAAAAGTGGAGGGGGAAAGGCAGGCTGAGAAATGTATCTGGTATGAGGGTGCGTTCACAATATTCAAAACCTGATTTAAAAAATGACAGGTTCTCATTGGGCACCAGCAACAGTGCATACACATGTTTCTACGCATAGAACGTTTTTTATCTATTTCTTCTTGTGCATGAGGATGTGAGTATATTTACACACGCTCCTGACCATGTATATGCAGGACCCCCTAGTGGTAGAAAAGTGTAATTGCTGGTCAACTGATTATGAGGCGCTCTCGTCACACTTATTGTCAATCCTATCAGCAGAACTAACAGAGAAATGACTGATTTTGGTGCTCACGAGGCACAGATAGGTGACAGAGATGAAATATAAAGTAAAATGGTTACAACACACATCTAAAGATTGAGTCCTATCATTGATTCCAAAAACAAACAAAAATAAAAGACTACAATAATGAAGTATTTTTTGTGAATGTTGCTGGTGCAGTAGAAGCCACACATGTAGCCATAAAATGTAAAAAAAAAATACATAACTATTTATTTATTTATTTATTTATTTATTAGACAATCTACTTGTAAAAGTGACAAATAAATCATTGTTATTTCACTCTACTTCGTGCAACAGTATTCCTACTTCACATCTTCATGGACATTTCAACAAACGCCATCAGGCTATTAGGCTTGTCAAAGGGACATTGTTTACCATATATGGCAATTTGGGGGTGTTTCTTTATGCAAATTAGTGTGGCCATGCACTAGCAAAGCAATTCAGAATGTGTGGTATTCCATGTCCATTGTGTACAGCTGTTATTAAATAAAATCTGTAAGAACACAGCAATGCGTGAAAAAAAAGGAATAAAACAGAATAGAAATAAGGGTCCCTGGAGGACTAGTGGTTAGGCCACGGTGCTCTCACCGCCATGACCCGGGTTTGATTCCCGTCCACAGTTTCTTTTACATCATGTGGAAGGCCGGGTGCGTGTGCATCGTTTACCTGGGGAAGAGATGGCACCAGGATGCACTATGGGAAGAAGGCAAGCTGGCGGAGGCAGTGTGATGCTCTGGGCAATGTTCTGCTGGGAAACTTTGGGTCCTGGCATTCATGTGGATGCTATTTTGACACATACCACCTACCTAAACATTGTTGCAGACCAGGTACACCCCTTCATGGCAACGGTATTCCCTAATGGAAGTGACCTCTTTCGGCAGGATAAT